TTGTGACCTAACAGAGAGTTTAGAACGCCCGATGATACGGTCACTCCGAGCCATTGGACATATGCAAATAATTATAATATAAAATGCTGTAAATACAAACTGGCTTAACGGTCACCTTCGGTGGTTCTATTAAAGTATATATCCAGTTCAAAATATTGATTGAGCTTAATTTATTAATTGCATTGCATGGAATATCCAGTGATTATCAAATTAATTACGCTAGTAAAAACAGATAAGATTAGATTGTTATCCATCGTTTCATAGAGGTGATATTTATATTTCCTTATCTTCGTACACTCTAAGAACCCAAGTGTAAAGCGCACGATATCGAATTCGCTATAGTGGTATCTTATCCGGCAGTACGAAAGATGCCTTCTAAAACCTAAACAAAGTATTAATAAACAGGAAAATTTCGTTACAAACAAAGAAAAAAGTACGTAAAATCAATCCTTCTATGTGGCAATACATGCGAGAAAATCTTCTAAAAAAGCACTTGAAATAACAGAATTGTGATTCTACAGAAGGCTGTTGAGAATACCGTGGACCGAACTTGTCAGCAACGACAAAGTTTAAGAGAAAATAGATTCGAATTCCAGTCGAGTTCGTTGCATTCATTTTCACACACATAGCCTTGAGAATCCATTTCTTCTCCACCCCCAGCTATGGCTTGAATAATAGGACAAACTGGCAACCAGACTACCGCTTACACAAACGCCAACCTACTGCGGGAAAAATCTTCTGCTTAGTCAGTCATGTATCGAAAGACATATGATCGCCCAAGCGTGTTTTGTGTATGACACTGAACTGACTGATACTGAACCTTAGAAAGAGACAATTGAAATTTCTAAGGAACATAAGGAGGAAAGAGGGCTTGGAAAATTTAATACCCACAGGGCAGATTGAAGGCAAGAGTGACAGGGGAAAACAACGCATGACCTACCTGGCGAGCTTGAGTAAATACTAGGCGGAACAGAGTTTAGAAGAGATATCAAAAAGACCCTTTTGTTAAGAGCTATAAAGAAGATGAAATTGTGGAGGAATATGATCACCAACGTCCTGAAGGGACACGGCACATAAAAGAATACTAAGCAATACTTTTCTGTGAAACGCACATGTGTACAAAGATTTCCCACACTCTTTTTTTCTAAAAACTGAAGAAAAATAAGGGTAGCTTGTGTCTAACATTATCATACAACCGTAGTTTTTTGTAAATAATATTTTTCATACCAGAATTTAAAATTCTTTTTAACTCCGACTAAAATAATACTTTCTTTTAGTAGATTGCCAAATCTTCGCCTAAAATATCGAATTTACATATGTATATAAACAGTAGGCATGTTTAAGACAATTTTATTCATTTGATAACTTTCTTAAGATTCCAGGTGTGGAAATTTAATGTGTAAAACAAATCGATCTTTTGTGTACGTTGTCCCTTGACTTTTGATTAAAATATCAATACTTTATTATCTCAGCTTTTCACGAAAACTTTATTCAAATTCCCTTTTAACAGACAGTCGAAAATACCTAGCAATAAACGAACTCTTTATCATTTTATATTAAGTTACTTTTACTAAAGAATTTCAAGCAAGTATTGCTATGAAGATATTTTACTTAACCAAACTACAATAGAATACTTGCATTATTTACATTACTCGGGCTGTTATCCTCATCTTCATTGCCATATTCACAACGTTTCGACCGTTTTACGCGCCAGCCTTCTTCAGGTGATTCGAATTTCGAACGGAACACTTTATTTCGTCTATAGCGGAATCATTTCGTGGATGAAGACGTTGGTTAGATCCAGTGACTAGACCCAAAGAGTTGTGAGTTCAATACCAGGCTACAGCGGTGGTGAACCAAAACCTAGAGAGTTGAAGTAAAGGGAATAAATGAGACATCCGGAAGAGGCATGACACGTGGAACTAGAGCTTAACAGTCCGAATAATGTAAATAATGAAAGTAATCATAATACCTCATCTCAGAGATATAGACAGATATATAAACCGATATAGGTGTAAAGACCGGTGCGTAGAACGGCCGAAGCGTTGTGAATATGGCAATGAAGATGAGGACAACAATCCGAATAATGTAAATAATAAAAGTAATCATAATACCTCATCTCAGAGATATAGACAGATACAAGAGAATAGTTGTGTAATAACAGTTTTATTTTTGTTGTTGTTGTTTTTGTTTATGGCTAAAGCCAATAATTACTCGTAGCACATCCCATGATGCACACATTTCAGATAAATATAATAGATTTTGTGGACTGGCGCTACAGAATCACAAAAAATAATTGTACCAAATAACAGAAACCACATCACTTGAGAACTTTCAACAGCAGCAACAACTAAAACGAATAGCACATGAATCTAGAAGAGAAAATAATGATATAATCAATATGTTGAAATTCCACATTACTTTGAACAAAAGTTTGGGAAGCAAACCTTTATCAAATACTAGAAACAACATTGGTAGGGGACTTGAGAAATATATTTTCCTTAAAAACTTGTACTAAGAGAAATATTTTATAAATTTCAACCGACCACAGTAATGGCTGTTCGGTCAGGGAATGTATGTGATGTAATGAATATGCATATACCTGGGTCCCCTCTCACAGTAATATGATTGGCTGGTGTCAGCTATAAATACAGACTGATGTGGAGGTACATGGACTACGCCTATTGTCTTCGCGTATTGTCTACACCTATTGCCTACAACTACGACGAAGAGCAGTCCATTACGCTTACCTGCTAGATTGTCCTACTCAGTTACAGTAGTCAACCACCACTTTGCTACTTCGAACAAATATATCCCTTTCTGGGACATATCAGTTGGATCTCATCCTCGTCGCCAACTGATATGTCCCGGAAAGGGATATATTTGTTCGAAGTAGCAAAGTGGTTTTGGGCTACTGTAACCGAGTAGGACAATCTAGCAGGTAACCGTAATGGACTTGGTCCTCAGCGTAGTGATAGGCAATAGGCGTAGGCAATAGGCGTCCTTCCTGTACCTCCACATCAGTCTGTATTTATGGCTGACACCAGCCAATCATATTACTGTGAGGGGGAATCCAGCTGTATGCATATTCATTACATCAGTATGTTTCCTTATAAAGAAACGGCTATTATTATCATTATTATATTTAAACACAAAATTTGATTTCAACACGATTTATATTCAAGTTCTGTAATGGTCTAATATTCCTGATGTACAACTTGACATTCTTGAGAAAATTCAAAGGTCTGTAATGTAATCGATCCTGACTTGGCACCTCAAGTTCTGTCACTTTTTCAGCAACATGACATGGTTTTCTGTTGCTTTTTCTACAAATATTTTCATGACAACTGTTCTGATGAGTGTTCCCCACCTGGTTCTCCGACTACTTGAACTGAAGCCTGCTACTAGATTGGCAATTAGGTCTTCCTGATTTACTGTCGATCTAACTAAATGCAACTGCCATTTCTACTCCAACAGTTTCTTTTCTCGCACCACTCACTTGAGGAACCCCATTCCGATTTTTTGCTCCTTGTTAACTAAAGTCTTCAGAAATGCAACGTCAATCGCCATCTTCCGTTTTCTTGAAACCTATTGCCTTTTGACCTTTCCTATATCTTCACCTTTATATGTCTTCTCTTTCAAGTTCACTTTCACTTTCATTCTCTTACCCCAACCCTGGGTTTTAGCGGCATTATTGCCTTGTTTGGGATGAAATGATTAAAAATATATTCATTTATGTGCTTCTATAATCTTTTTGATAGATAAAAAGAAAATGCAAGAAACTATAAAAAAATTACGTTTCTATTACATTGCTTCTTTTGTATTTCCGTATTATTATGTGTAATTACTTCGATGCATATTTAAAATGGATAATCGTCTCTATAATCTATCAACTGGATATGTAGGTAGTTTAACGGGTATCGGCATGGAAAGTGGAATCGGTGAACCAAATTCTAACTTCCGAGCTCGGCTGATATGAACTTAAGAAATTCCTTTGGCGAAAAAAGCACGTGTCCGTCACGTAGCAGGATAGATTGGACTTTCTCGCTTTGGGGAGCAACTACTCTAAACCATAGGAATAAAAACGGTAAACCACACCACTATCTTCCAGGGGTGACAATTCACAGATGATAACAGAAAGGAAACTAAGGAGAGTCATAATCTCCAACGTCTTCAAAGGACATTGCCAATATGAAAAAAAAAAAAACTGTGTGCGTGGGCGCGCATCTGTGTGTATGCTAGGGATGGTTGCATGCACGTGCGTGTGTATATGCGTGCGTTTTTGTGTATTTGTGCACGTATGTATTTATGCACGTTTGCATGCGTGTGCCTATGTGCGTGTCCGTGGGTGTTTGTGAGTGTGTGTGCAGATGTGCATACATGTTCATGCGTATGTTTGTGTGCGCGCGTGTGTGTATGTGTAATGAGTAAAAATAAATTCAGTAAATGATCATATAGGGTCAGCGAATCTAGTTTATATGTAGGAAATTCACTTGACTTTGATTCCTGGATCATGTTGTCTGCTTTCAATTCCCCACACCCCTCCAATTCTAATCTGAAATCTCTCCCCAAAGCCTCTATACGGTCTTAACGTATTTTAAGAAATTTATTTCAAACATTCAATTTCTTCTATTGATTCAATGTCCATTTTTCGCGCCTCTCGTCAGATTCATCATCACAATGATCAACATCGGATTATGAAAACAGCAATTAGTTCCAACGTCGATTATTTACTTAACGAGAGATTTGTGAAGGGAAATGTTGATACTTGCTAATCTACGGTATTATTATTGAGATAACAGTCACTAGAAGGACAACTAGAATGCACTTCAAAAGAACAGACTTGGAGATTTTATTCTTGGGAGCGTTTGTGGTATTGGCGAAGAATAAACGGAAAAGTTGTGAGAAAAAAAAAATAAGAACAAAAAACATTGGGGGAAAATCGACTCTAAAATTACACTTTTTTGTGTATTTTTTCCTGGAATCAGTTGTGTTTCCTTTTAAGAATAGAAGAAAGGCAAATGTCCAATCGGAAAAGAGGCAATATTGGTCACAGGGTAACTGCGGATTGATTTCCGAAATCGAAAAGGAAATCGCTGGCCTAAAAAAGTGTTTAGGAATGAAGATTGAGGGAAAGAAGATGGGCGGCGTCGATTGCCAATCAGCGGGGAACGGTAAAATAAGAATGGATGATAATAAGTTATTAAGGATGGGAAGAAAGTAAAGAACGCAACGGGAAACGTGGGGGGGAAGAGAATGTAAAATGAGGAATTGAAAAGGAGAGATAAAAAAAGAAAAGAAAATATGGATAATAGAGAGTGAAAAAGAAAAGAAAATTTAGAGATACACAAGGAAGGAAAGAAATTGTGGCTGAAAGAAAAAAAACAAAGAAATAAGAACGAACAAATAATGAAAATAATTAGAAGAAAGAAAGAAAGAAAGAAAGAAAGAAAGAAAGAAAGAAAGAAAAACGTATAGATTGAAAACAAGCGCCGGTGAAAGAACTAAACTCGAAAAGTGATAAAAGCCAGCAAATGAAACGTTAGTAATTTTGCAAACCTTATTTTGGCAACAGCTTTTCCTACTTTTTTTTAGTGCATCGAAATAAATGAGTTTTAACAGAGAAAATTGTGTAAGCTCTCGTCTCGACGATAGAATGAGTGTTTGGTCGAGATTTTGAAGGAATGATCGAGTTGCTTTCGGACGGGAAATGACGACTGGAACGGCAGGAATGACTGTGTGTATAGATAAGGATCAGGCGGGTAGAAGGCGTGTGAGTTAGCTTTACAAATATACAATTGGCGTAGAGCGTGGGTGGCGGAATGGGGTTGCAAATTATAGTCGGAATGGAGTTGGTAATTTTCAGTTTCTGTGGTGCATTTGATTACAAAACGTGTGACACTATTATCGCCTGCTGACCCCAAATGGAGGAATAATTTGGGTAGGTTATTTTCAGTACTTTGATTGGGTATAAAAAGGAAGGTTACGTATTTGTGAGGGTGAAATGAAAAGAACCAAAATCCATGAAAGCAATGACAGACAAAATGAAAGGCAAAAATGACCTGACAGATAGCTAAATAGATAGATATGAATAGACTAACATAGATAGATAGATAGATAGATAGATAGATAGATAGAGAGAGAGAGAGAGAGAGAGAGAGATAGGGGAAAGAATACCAGAAAGAGATAGACTGACATGTATATCATAGATAAAATTAGTTGACATAGATAGAATGATAGATAGATAACAAGAAAATTAAAAAAAATGTGAAAGGGAAAGAGAAATGTCTTACCAGGGATATGTATAAATTAAAATAAATACTTCCTTAAACATATAATAATTAATACAATAGATATATTAATGTATTTATATATATATATATATATATATATATATATATATATTCACACAAACACACACATCATCTATCTATATATCTCTGCCTGTTCATTATCTATCTATGTGTATGTGTGTGTGTGTGTGCGTGTGTGTGTGTGTGTGTGTGTGTGTGTGTGTGTGTGTGTTTGTTCATTATCTATCTATATATCTATCTATCTTAGTGTTATGGTGTATAACCATAGAAATAAAACACGGACTCGGATATAAGGTTAAACAGTATATTCTCGGAAACGTAGTACAAAGATAAATGTGGACTGGAGAGTACTTTCTCTCACTGGTGTCCTGACTCATTCACTCACTCACTCTATGGCTCCTACTCGGTGACCCTCACTTGGTGACTTCCTCTACTCAGAGTTGGTAGCCATATTATATAGGAGTGGAAAAGTCCATTTGTAGGTAGGTCCCTACAACATTTAGTCTATTCATTATCTATATATCTATCTATCTCTTTTTTCATATATGTTCATATATGTCTTTATGTTTTTTCTAATATATATATATATATATATATATATATATATATATATATAAAACATTTATGAATATGGTGTTTTCCTTTCGTCTTTCAACGATAATGTGATTAAGCTTATCAGACAATATGAAACGAACTTACTTAAAATAAATAGACAAAACTTGTCTATATTATTTAATGAAACATGCATTAATATATATATATATATATGTGTGTGTGTGTGTATGTGTGTGTGTGTGTGTGTGCGTGATATCGATATATATTTTTTATGCATCAAGAAGAGAAATGGCGAAATTGTATGTGAATCTTTTCATTCTTCAGCATTTCATCGGATTCATTTTGTTATCTTGATAGGACTACACATGCGCTCGACAGAAGAGTGCTGGGAATCTTGACATTTTTTTTTTATTTATACCTAGCTGAATTTATTTAGAGTTTTTTCTTTCGATCAATTTTGTAAATAGTTATCCCAAAATGAGACCCGCTATAATTATTAACGTAAACTACCCCCTCCCCCAGCATATTTAATACCACCAAATAAAATAACCAGTAAGGATTACAAACCGAAATTTCTACCAGTTACATATCACAGTCACCAAAAACAAGCAAATAACCAGCTTTAAAATAATAACAAATTAAAATTTTAAATTAAAAATAAAAATAATAATAATTTTTACCTATCATAATTTTACACAAACCCCACCACACGTATATACATACATGCGAGGAAATATTATTCAGTGAAAAAAATAGAAAAATGCTCTGATTGTTGACATGTATACATTCAAGAGACATTCACGAAAAATTTTCGCTACACTTCCAATCTTTGAATTTCAACATACAAATGGGTATGTATAGACACAACACCACCCATATACATACATATGTCAAATTCGAAACTGTCCACATATGTTTATATATGTATGAGTCCCGACGGACAAGCAAGTGTGTATGTGTGTGTGCGTACCTCATATGATGTACGGACATGCATCTATGTTTGCGTTAGCACGATGACATCACGAAGACGATTCCCCCCCCACTCCCATAATAACATCAATACACGCAATCTACATAAACCCAAATTTTTAAAAAATTAATCAGTTTGTCTGACGATCGCAAAAGCGTGAAACCCAGGGTCACAAACTCACATCAATCCAACCAAATATATATATATATATATATATATATATATATATATATATATATATATATATATTGAAATGAAATATTGATAATGAAAACTGCAGAGAACGCTACGTTGAGGTAATTTTTTTGCTGTAAAAAATACATATGCTCTGTTAAAATAAAAACATCGAGCGCTCTGTGGATCAGTTTTAATAATTAACATTATTAGTATCTACCCCGATTATATACCAACGGATCGATTACCTGTACTATATACTCATCGATTTCGATGCATGAGAGTCAAGCAGATCGGTTCCTAGAAAAGCGAAAAGCCCGACAACAGCACATGAGTTTTGATTATAATGGTGAAGGTTTCGTGCAGGACCATCCACACTTTTTGAAGGGCCAAATACAGATACCTGGTGCACTACGCACCACAGTGTCTCCAAACATTTTCTGGCACATTAGAATATATATATATATATATATATATATATATATATATATATATTAATTAGAACTAAATGTATTTGTGTTTTAGAGTCTCATATTCTGGCCAGATTCAAATGCAAATCATTGTTTTTACGGATTATAATATAAATTTCTAGACAGAGAAAATAATTCAGTAATTCAGATTTCTTAAAAAAGAAGAAAAAGAAGAAGAAAAATAGAAAGAAGAAAAAAAAGAAAAAGAAGAAGAAGAGAAAGAAGAAGGAGATGAAGAAGAAGTGTTCGCAACATGCTTTTGTTATAATTCTACTTTTTTTAATCCTCAAGCTGTCATATATGATTTAAATTTTTCATTTAAATAAGGCTACCTCTTAGCATCATATATATATATATATATATATATATATATATATATATATATATATATATATATATAGGAATAGGAGAGAGAGAGATAATATATATATAGGAATATATATAGAGAGATAATAATATATATATATATAGAGAGAGAGAGAGAGAGAGAGAGAGAGAGAAAGAGAAAGAGAGAGAGATAAATAAATGCACATTTAAAAAGTCCGTATATAAAAACGATGCACATGGTGCGCCGATGGGGAAATCTTTGACTCACGCGGAGCGATAAGATGGGAATGTAAATGACTCTTTTTTGATTAAATGAAGAGCTCATGTTGCCGCCCTGAAGAGTCTTTGGCATAGGTTTTCAATATTTCAACCCATTTGACGTATTCCTTCCATTTCAGGTCCTCTTGATTAAATTTTACATACGCTTGGAATAGAGGTTTCTTTTCAAAATACCCTCACATACGATTTTGTGTAATGCCATCGGTTGAATTAATCTCGAAATATGAGATGCTCAGAAACGGCTTTTTGAGTTCTGTTAGCGTCATAAATATATCATTCGCAGAGATATCAACGCTGTACGCTTCTTGCAGTAGGTGTTAGAATAATAATTGCACGAACTTTTATAAGATGGTTTAGTCCAACAACTGACAGGCAGATTCTTTTCCACACTCGTTGCAAGTAGAAAAGCCGTATGACGTGTAGCCAATGACTTTTCTACACGTCGGTCGTCTTTGAAGATTCTTAGGCCTCTCTTATACAGACGCGATTACATTCAATAGATAACACTCGATGCCAACATCTTCGGGATGATTAACATTAAGACTTTTGATGGTTATAATTTAATATGGATATGTTAATAGACATAAGCATTATTATATGTCCAACATTGTTTCCATTATCGATATTTTATGAGACATATATATATATATATATATATATATATATATATATATATATATATATATAGTTTATAAAAAACTTGGTAATCCGTAAGTGTAAACCTAAGGAGGATAAAATCCAGAGAGATCAATGTAAATCCAGAACAAATAATTTAAATAAAAACAGACCACTTTAAGATTCCATGTAATAAATTATTTCACCACAGCCCTTTTAAAGGACTGCGGATCATCAGATTTTACGTCCAAATAGAAAATGAAAAGAAAATTTACATATTTTTGACCGGCCTTATTAAACATATGTAAATTAACGAAGTGAGGAAGTGAGGGGGGAGAGAGAAGACATGAGTGATTTAGCAGATACTGACACATTTAAACGGTTAACTTAACGGAAGTTATATATTGATATCGAAGGGGTAGAGAAGAAAAAACCCATAGAGAGAAAAAGAGGGAAGGAAGTTAAGAGAGAAGAGAAGAGAAGATGTCACTAATTTTCATTGTAAAAAAGGGCTAGAAACAGACGCTGTTATTTTGCTTTACTTTGAAAGTGTTATTTTGGGGGTTCATAAAGATTATAATGTTTGATATAAATTTGAATGTCTCTAAACTGTCTACAAATAATTTAATTTGTTTGTTAGTGATTTAAATTTTTTTTAAATTTTGGGGATTTTCTATGAAATAATCGATTAGAAAAATATTCATAGAAAGTACATTAAAAGATTAAAATTTTATTTTAAAATATAAGTTTACTTCTAGTAATCTTTTTTTTTAATCTCTTTAAAAAAAATTATTATTGATCATTAAGTTGACATCTCTATCCGTTTGAATTTTGATCATGAATTTAACTCGTGACTGTTTCTAGATAGGTAATCTCTTTTACTTAAATTTTAGTTAAGCTAATATGGGGTAATATTTGAAGGTAATATTAAAGATCTTGCTCTGTCATATAATGTATACACACCCATGCAAATATCACATATACACACGTTCCTTTACATCTTCAATCACTCAGGGACCCATTGAAGGACTGGCAATGGTTATAAAGTCGATGTTTCCAACTTCCAGCCGATATTAAAGTGGTCTGTTTTTATTTAATATATATATATATATACTCGACTCTCCCGTCGGATTTGACGTATGTGGGTCAAGCAGGTCAGTTTCCAAGAAACCGACCATCCACACTTTTTGAAAGTCGGAATACAGAGACCTGGTGCACTACGTGTCACAAGGTCCCCAAATGACCCTCCGCAGGTTTTGAATTCAGAGTTGACCTTCTCCTAGACCAGTTGCCATCCAAGGCTATAGAACCCAGTCTGTCCTGCTATTTACCCATAGCTTTAGGGAGAAGAAGAGGATTTACATCTTTCCCAAGGGTATTACCACGTAACTATATGTAATAGATTCGACTGGAATTCGAACTCGGCTCCCAATCCAGACACAGTGGAGTAATATATATATATATATATATATATATATATATATATATATATATATATATATATATATATATGATCCTTGTTCTCATATTCCCGACGTTTCGGCCGTTGTACGCTCTGTGACAGAGAGTTTGGGAAACACACACACACGTATATTTTTTTTAGTGAAATTGGAATAGATTTGAATAGTGAAATTAAATCAGAGCATTTTGTTTACTGATGTGAAAACTGGATATGGGGCAGAAGTTATACCCATTGAATCTAGGTCATCAGCAGACAATGAAAATGGTCGAAATAATTACTATCGATTAAAAATAGAAATAGGGCTGAGTAAACTAGAAGAACCTTTTGAATTCACATGATTTTGGTTCAAACAGCCGAAACCTCGTGATAATCACGTGCAAAGTAGTAAGGCCAAGTTTCAGTTGTAACCAGCCGGATTTTTCTATATAAATGCGTAGTTATGCTGAAGAAGAGGCATATGGAAGAGAGAGGCGGAAGAGAGAGACGGAAGAGGCAGACGGAAGAGAGAGGCAGGAGAGAATTAGCCTGGGCAAGAATTGGGCTAGAGACAGTGGAGAGTAGAGTTGGAGACTCAAGAAGGAGAGAACGTGACGTCAGAGATTGGAACAAAGCGTCCGCTAACATGTACTGTTGATATAAGTACCGTTGTTTCTGCTACTACGAATTTTAGTACTACTGTTACTACTGCTAAGGAGGAACGCCACTATAAACTTTAAGCCGAACACAAAAATCTTATTCCCCCTATCACAAGAGTCGTATATCGTTCTGAAACGATTTAACAACAAGTTAATCATAACACACTTTCTCTCTCTCTCTCTCTCTCTCTCTCTCTCTCTCTCTCTCTCTCTCTCTGTCCAGAATCCAGCGTATGCGTTTTTACGTCAATTACTTTTCTTTTCTGTAACCTGTTTCTTTTCTATACTATTCTTTTCTGCTATATAAAAGACATTAACAATTCAATCATTGAATAGTTGTTTGTCTGGCTTTCTGCAGATATCATTATTATTTTTTTTTTTTTTTTGCTGCATTCTAAATTTTTTAGCGCAGACTCTCCAGCCGTGTCTACATCTTCAATCAACCGTGACTGAATGAACATCAATTCTGTTTTCTAGACCAAACCAAATACAACGTGGACAGGAAGCAGGGTTAAACTAGTGGACCGGTCGTATAATCTACGGATGCTCAGGGGATCTACGGCCACTCCCTTAAGTTCGGTTAGGACCGAAAAGACAACTCAACCCAGAGAGTAAGAAGTCGGAGGTTGAGGGGCTAGGGCGAAAGTGTTAGATATTTCAGGCCATCGAACCTTTATAATACTACAGCTCAAAATATAGACAGAAATTTGATATATTATTTTACTACACTTGGTAAATAACAAATACTAATTTCTTCGATCTTCACTAGGCGCTCCACGCTTACAGCCTTGTGCCAGATTAACTTTATAACTATCTATAAAGAACACCTATCTGTGGGGCAGCACTAAGCAAAGTTGATACTATTCTAAGAACTTAGATTTTTAATGGTGCTCAACATTTGTGCCAAAACTAATCTTATTTTCTTTTATACGCCGGCTCCATTCAGGACGTTGACAATCATGGATCTCCACAATTTTCTGTCCTGGTAGATCTTAATACATTCTGTCTTTTGGCTATCTCTCCCAAACCCTTGTCCGCTATTTATTCACTCAACTTCACCAGTTAGGTTATGTGTTGTTTTCATCTATTCGCCTTGCTTTTTTTCTAGCCTGTGAGTATCAGTAAAGATAAAGGAAAAAGCATTCAACATAGAAACAATAGTTACCTAAGCTAATATGACAGACCATTACTAGTTCGGTACTCAAATATGCTTCCCCTGATCTTATGTCTGATTAAGTTAATGCAATATGCATATTAGTATGAGAAATTTTTTACCCGTCACTCAGTATGTGAACTGCCGATTTAACGCGATATTACCCATGACCTCTGGTTAACTGTAATACTCTGAGCATCTCAATTAAATAAAATAGAAAGTGCTGTATATGTCGCGCTTTGAGGAGACTCAGATGCCGAGACACGCTATAGCTGATATAGTTTATGTATGTTTGAATTTTATAATCGATGTTTCATTAAATGGACAACAAAGTACTATGTTGCCAGTTTTATTGCGCTTTTCTTGTACACAATGAAGAGACTTCGTTTTGGCTTTTAGTTTGCGTAAAGAATATTCAAATCACTGCTTGTTTCGAGAGCATTTGCTTAATCTATCAGATGTTTTCAAGGATTTTTGTTGTGTTATTTTAAATAGTAAGGGCGATTATAAGTATATATATATATATATATATATATATATATATATATATATATCAGTATATACTTGTGTATACTTGTGTATATATATATATATATATATATATATATATATATATATATATAAGTATGTGTATATTTATATATATATGTATATAGGTGTCGGTTTTGATCGTAAATAGAAGACTAAGTGCAGATATATACATATATATATATATATATATATATATATATATATATATATATATATATATAAGTGAACATTGAAGTCAACACCCACAGGCTATTTCATGGTGGACGCGTCCATCTTGAAACAGCCTGTCGCCTCTGAGTGTTGACATCAATGTTCACTTTCATATTTATATTACATACGCTCTATCTCTTATAGCGAGCACTTTATCCCATAAATATACCACACCTTAAAACTATATTTTTTATTATATATATATATATATATATATATATATATATATATATATATATATATATATATATATATATATAGGTAATAAATACGTTGGTATATAATCCAAGTGGTTCCTATTTTTTATTCTTTAAAAATATTTTTATTTTTTATTCTTTTAAAAATATATTCTTACTAAATATTAATTATCTAAATATGTTTGATTCTTAATCTGTTAATATATCTCAATGGTGGGTCGAATTTGATATTTTTATAATGTTTTTATATATAAAATCCTCTTTTCAGTC